TCTCCGTCCACGGTTTTCTGACATTCCAAAATTGAATATTGGCCAGCAAAATATCACAAGTGATCGGTGGTGGGCACGATTGACGGATGGCTTGTTTTAAAGTCGCATTCCAACCCTATGGGTGTGAATGGTCACCCTCTCCATATTCTTCATGGAAGTGCTTCTCTTTTCCCACTGTAATGAAAGGATGATGCACCAAGGGACACGGGCAAGAGAACCGTAACTTGCCGCTCCGTCGAGCGAGGTGATGGGCGCGACAGGCGCTGTTCGGCGACGAAGGCACTTTCGCGGCTTCACTAGTTCCGGATAACAAGTCTCACTCTGGTGAAACCTGTGAACTCTTGTGTAGCTGGAGCAAGCTCGTCCAGCCACCATGATAAAACCTGTCAACTCTCGTGAGGCTCTCTCGATGGCTCGACACGTCGATGAGAAGTGGCAAAAGTGCAAAATGCCCCCCGTCGCCGAACTGCGCCCACTTATGTCCATTTTTAGTCATGCATAGTCTATTCTCGATACCAGCTAGAATCATCGTCATTAGCAGGCGCGACGTCGCACGCGACGCCCACTGGCGCGGCGAATTACGGTTCTCTTGCCACATACCCATGCACCAATAGCGAATTGTGAGCGGCTGGACTGGATTATGGCCAAAGCAAATAGCGTCTTCAGAGACAGACCAAATTCCTTCCTGGTCAAAATAGTTCAGGGGAGGTGAGGCAGGGTTTCTATTATGCACCGGACTATCTACTTTGGCAAGGAAGGTCCCACATTTATCTGCTGAGCCCCCGCTGCATATACTCGAGATCGGATGGGCGGCTTCATTCTTTCAACTGCAACGTGAAGGTGACTATGCTTCTGGTGGAATATTTCCATCTTGACACAACTGTTGTCGTGTCTCTGTCCAACACAGAACAAGATGACAGTTGTCCCAGATTGGAATATTCCACGAGTAACCAGTTCCGTGCCATGTTCAAATGCCACGCCTACTCTGGCTCAGGGATAAGGAGTGTATTTCATCGCAAGGTCTGTGGTTAAAGAAGGGTGTAGTGCTCCCTTTAACTATTTCAATTCAAATTCCAGTTTACACATCCCATTCAATGCACAGACTTTAGGTCAGTATAACGAGCTAAATGAAGGGAATTTCAGTCATACGTGTGCATATTTGGTTCTTCGTCAAGTGCGGCATCATGGACGCAGCAGGGCGTCTCCTGCGCTCTCCCATCACTTCGCTCGTCATCAGATCTGCCTTCGTCACTTACAGAACTTCTTGCACTCAGCACATCCACCAGTTCCTACCGTATCGTCGAATACAACTTCACTATTTACAACTGCGGTGCTTTCATGACGTGAGTTTGATAGTCAATTCTTGCCAGTCCTTAGGTAAAGATAAACGTGGAATTCTGTTCATCTCACATGCATTCAGTTTCGGTCTTTTTTTGTTTGCCAGTTGTGTATCTTACCCATTACTGACGCGCGCGGTCGCGAGACGGCAAAAAATGTTCATTTGGGAAGTTGCTCAAACTGACTATTAGCTGAAAAAGTTGCCAGCCATATCACAGCTAAAAAAACGAAAGCAAGTGAAGACATAGAAGATCATTGCAAGTGAAGACATAGAAGATTATTTCGAAAGAATAACTATTTTTTTGCTGAAGCGATACATCAACCGCTCCGCAACCGCTCGCGGCGTCAACCATCTAACCCATTGAATCGTTCTAAAATTTTTAGGTAGTCTTGGTCCAAATTACTCAATAAAACCTACAAACCGAGTTTCAGATGTTCATCGTGTAGCGCCTCTGAGACTGGTTGTGATTGGTGTATTGAATCGCACAAGTGTGTCTCGAGTGGAAAATGCAGTGCGGTAGGTCTTCCTTAGGTTTCCTGGTCTCCCAAAAAGATAATTTCTGTTCTAGAAAAAAGCCACCGAATGTGTGCACATCAAGCAGCCATCACAGTTGATGATACCCAAAGGGAATTCACAGGAGATTTCTTTCGCTGTAGCTCATTTGGACCGTCTGCCTAGGGAAGAGAGCTATTCTTGTCGAGTAGTCCTGAACGGCACCACGGTGCACTCCAAGGCCAAACTCGCCGAGGTGAGCTCTTTCGGCTGTAGGGCCACCTTTTTATAGCTGATGCCGTCGCAGTTCGGGCGCTGTCAGAAGGCTGAAATGAGCGCGCCTATAGTACTGGTCGATTCAGGAAAAAAGAACCAGTGGTAGAAAACGCCGCGATTGGGCTCATTCCACGCCCTTTGACACAGCTCCCGTTTGTTGTGTGCGATATCAGGGATACAATTCCCATTCCTCTTGCTTTACGGTACTCATGGTGGTCTAGCTTTGAGGCTCTTGACCTGGGTGACAGCCCTGGATCAGACGTTGTCCAAGTTCACCTGCCATTAGGCTTCCTTATGCCCACGTGATTCTGCTTAATGAATTGATCTCCTATCAGGGAATTTCAACCGGTCTCGAGTTTGAGCCAACAAGTAGTAATGCCGTTCCTACCTAATTGTTGTAGACGATTCTGGGGCAGGGCATGTCGTACGGTGGGGAGTCTTCAG